CCCCCCCAGTGTCCCCCCATGTCCCCACCTGCTGCAGGCGCCCGATGCGGGCGGCGATGTCCCCTCGGTGGCCACCGATGACGTCCCCGCGGTGGCCGCTGTCCCCCCCGTGCCGGTGCCCGATGTCCCCGAGCCGGTGGCCGACGTCCCCGGGCCGGTGTCCCATGTCCCCGGGTCGATGGCCGATGTCCCCAGAGCGGTGGCCGATGTCCCCGAGGGGGGGGACTGAAGAGCGATGACCGATGTCCCCAGGCCGGTGGCCGACGTCCCCAGGCCGGTGGCCGATGTCCCCAGGTCGATGACTAATGTCCCCAGGCCTGTGGCCAACGTCCCCGGGCCTGTGCCCGATGTCCCCAGAGCGATGGCCGATGTCCCCAGGTCGATGACCGATGTCCCCAGGCCGGTGTCCCATGTCCCCAGGCCGATGACCGATGTCCCCAGGCCTGTGGCCGATGTCCCCGCGGTGGCCGATGTCCGGCCGATGACCCATGTCCCCGCGGTGTCCCACGTCCCCGCGGTGGCCGATGTCCCCGGCGCGGTGGCCGCGGTGCCTCCCGTGGTGGCAGCTCGGGGGCTCGTCCAGCTCGGGGGTGGCCTCGGGCCCGGGGGGGTCCCAGGGCTGCAGCGCCCGGACACAGCCCTGGAGGGGGTCCGGGGGAGACCCACGGATCCACCCCACAGACCCACAGATCCACCCCCCTGCCCCATGGATCCCCCCCCAGGGGCTCCGCGGCGCGATGCATCCGCCTGGGGGGCACGGGGGGCAGTGTCTGCCCCATAGATCCGCCCCACAGACCCACAGATCCACCGCCCTGCCCCATGGATCCCCCCCCAGGGGCTCCGCGGCGCGATGCATCCGCCTGGGGGGCACGGGGGGCAGTGTCTGCCCCATAGATCCGCCCCACAGACCCACAGATCCACCGCCCTGCCCCATGGATCCCCCCCCAGGGGCTCCGCGGCGCGATGCATCCGCCTGGGGGGCACGGGGGGGTCTGACTGCCCCATAGATCCACCCCTGCCCCACACATCCACCCCACAGACCCATCCCTGCCCCATGGATCCATCCCAGACCCACAGATGCCCACGTGCCCCATAACCCCCTTAAACATCCCCATAACCTCCCCAAACAACCCCATAAACCCCAAAACCAGACCCACAGACCCCCAAACCAGCCCCATAACCCCCTAAACATCCCCACAACCCCCCTAACCACCCCATAACCCCCAAAACCCCCAATGACCCCATAACTGACCCCATAACCCCCCAAACCCCCCCCAAAACCCCCTGTGA